GCCGCTCCTTGGCGCTACTGGACCAACCCAGCAGCACTCCAGCTGCTCTTCCCCAGGCGTCCGCAAGAACAACTGGGGTGCTGTGGTTGGTCCCGCAGCCCTGAGGGGCAGCACTACAGGACCAACACGGCAGCACCCCAGCTGCTCTGCCCCCAGCTTCTCCGATTCAGTTGCTGGTCAGTTTCAGCAGCGGTTGAATCGGGGAAGTCTGGCGCAGAGCAGCTCCAGTTGTCCGGCAGCCAGAGCACTTCCGGGTTCCTGATGGTGCTAATTGCTGTGACTTTGCTAATGTTGGAGCATGCACCTAAACAGATTTCTTTTCCCATTCATCCCATCCTCCTGTTGTCTTGTATTTTAAATCTATATTGCAGAAATCTATAATGCAGAAAACAGAGTTCTAGATATCTGGCACTTGGGCTGCAGGTTAATTCTCACACACCTCCTTGGGAATCCAGTGAGAGTTGGATCTTTTTAAGGGGAAAATTGTGTAAGCAAAAAAAATCATGGGGGAGCATCACATGGCATATGTTGGGGCTGTCAAATCTGTCTTCCTCTAAAGAAGTAGAATAACTTCAGCTAAAAATGGGACTTATCTGCAAAACACCTTCATGAGAAGTGGCAAGTCTCATTTCCAGTTCCCTTCCTGGCTGCTTCAGCCTGACTTCTAGGGCTGAGATCTGCAGGGAGTACTGAGCTGAAGTGAGATTAAACATTTTTTATTTCTCTCTTGAAGGTACAGTAAATACTTAGTTTTAACTATTTAAAATACTTGCTTTAGGTGTATCTACCTATATCATGCTTTGACAGATTGAGGTTTCTTTTAAGACTAGCTATCGGTAGTTCCTTAAATCTTAATTAAGTGCACACTTAAGGGAAACTTGGCCTAAGAATTTGCAGGGTTTATAAATGTGCAATTATTATTTGCCCCTTCTGTTTTAATAAAAGAACTTGGACCAGATTTCACTGGACAAATGGGCTTCCATCCTTTAGACCCAAGGGTCAATCTGGTTTTAGGCTTCTGTGCCGAAGGATTAATGAACAAAATTGCTAGAAAAACATTTTGGGGTGCCTACTCGTTCAGGTATCCAAAACTAAAGTTGTTACACGAAGTAACAAAGCCATTTGAAAATAATTTTGCTGTCTGAAATGTCACATAGCACATCTTTTTGTTTTCTTGTAGTACACTATGGTGAAGCACATGCTCTCTCCAAGTCCCACTGAAAGACCAGAGGCAGAAGACATCATAGAAAATCCTTTATTTGAAGACTTAGAACTCCCAGCAAAATCAATGCTTAGGCAGAGATCACGGACAATGAGTTCCTCTGGAATTAAACATTCAAGACAACCAAGCAAATAATTGGGCACAATTATCCTGAGTATACTCAAGAGATCAAGGTGATTATTCAGCAGGCTGGATCCTCTATTACAGAACGTTGATCTCTGAAACAGTTATTCTCTATTTCTCACATTATGTAGAAAACATGTTGTATGGAATTCAGTTAAACTTGTTCACTATTTTTAGATGACCAGATGAAAGCCAGTAACTAAACTTTTTGCATTTCCTTGCTCTTTCTACCTTGATCCTCATAGGTTTATTAGTCTAGCACACGGTTTACATTTGTTTGGATACAGCAAATTTTAGCAGTGTGGGGAAACTGGAAAGAGATGTAATATGTAAATAGAATTAAAATACTGTATTTTTATAGAACAAATTAGTCTCTAAGCCTCGTGAATATATTTCCAGATCACTTGCTCTCTGAAGAAATGAAGGTGATCTTGAAACTTTGAAAAATCATGACTCCGTTTTTGTCCCTGGTGGGTAAAGTGGGAATCTGCACTATTTCAAAAGTGAAAGTATCACAGGTGTACATAGGGTCACTAGGCATAGCCCGTCTTTAGAAGAACTGGTGGCTTGTATTGCCACACCATAGTAGATTTTAGGGAATGCATTTTGTACATCCTGTAGAGGACAAAAGGAGGTTTTTTTATGACCTTCCCCCTCCAAATTAACAAAAAAAGGTTATAGATACTGTTATGAAGAGCCATAGTAAAAAATTAAGCATCTATCAAAATCTTGAAATTCTGCAATTTTTCAATTAAGTCATAAGGAAATTATGTAATCTTGTAGATTTGTACTTTTCTAAATCAACTGTAGGCATTTGTATAATCTGCTAATTTAACTGCCTAATACTAAGCCTTTATTGTTCATTGTAAATATGTTCATTTTTATTTATAAAATGCAGAATCAATCCATTTGGGTTGGTAGTGTACAGAATGCACTTGATACTGTTGAAGTGCATTAATTATTGTGACTTCTTTCAAGTCTAAATGATTTAATAAAGTTTTTTATTGAAAGCTTTATAGTGCCTTGCTTTAAAAACAAAAACTATGCGTGATAAGCAACCCAGATGGCAGGTTGCATGGTCTGAGGGAGACGGAAAAGCCCATCTTCCAACTTGTTTTATTTTTTGTGCCAAATTTAATTTTATAGTCTGCATTGTGACAAGTTTGATTCTTGTTAACTTCTAAGACTGAGATGGGACTTTGAACTGTGCTAAAATATCGGCTGATCAAGGAGCTACATGAGACAGAGATGGACACTGAGACTTTCAGGAGAATTTCCCTTTGTCCTGAAATTTCTGAAGACTGGTCTTAATCGAGAGATGAGTGTATTGGGGAAGTTTGAAGAAAAAGCTTTTAGGCTTGTTATGGAAGGCGAGAAGTAATTTTAATACTAAAAATACTTTTTGTTTGGATGCTTTTTTTCTGTACTCCAGTAACTCACAGGGTTGTCTGGTATCTTTTGAAGTCTTCCTCCTTGATAAGGACCTTTTCCGTCTCTTTAACCCCTGCCCTATTCCACAAAATGCCTCTATAGTTAGACTCTCAGTGAGTCAGGTTGGTATACTGCAGACAATATGGATGTCAAAGGTCTGTACCTGAATCCAGGTGACAGCAGCGTCTGACTGAAGTTGTGCCGTTTTATGCCATGGTAACAGCAGGCTGTAAGGATGTATCCACACCGCAGTTAAACATTTGCAGCTGGCCATTGTCACTGTCTCGCACTTGCTGGGCTTGGAGAGTCTAAAATTGTGGTGTAGACATTCAGACTTGGGCTGGAACCCATGCTCTGGGACCCTGCAAGTGGGGAAGGTCTCAGAGCTCAGGTTGAGCATCTGCACCATAATTAAGCAGCCCCATATCCTGAGTAGCTGACAATGCATGTGTTTAATTGCAGTGTGGACGTACCCTGAAAGGTCCTTCTTTGTGGTGTAAAGCAATATTCCCTGTAAGCTTTGTGCTTGGGTGGCCAACCAGCTGATTAGCAGAGCATCCACAGCCAGCAGCCAGTGTTTCTACTGGTGGTGCCCACCTGCATCTGCACTGGTGCACATGATCAAACTTATTCTGCACGTGGATGGAAAAACTTAGAGGGAACTTTGGTTTCCAGCCAGTGGAAATGTTCTGGATGGTGGGTGGCTAGATTGCCTTCAGGAAGCTGCTTTGTTTGAAAAATGCAGTGGGATTGAGGGTATTCTGGAACCAGACTATAGCAGAGTCAAAACAGGAGGGATCAGATGTGCTGGGATCAGATGTGTTGCCTGCCTTGAGAGTTTTACCTAGTTTCACAGTCAGACTGACTAGGGGGAGGAGAGGGGCCAGTTGCCCCAGTGCCTGGCAATTTAAATGGGTTTGAGGCTCCAGGCTGCCACTACCACAGCAGCAGCCAGAGCCCTGAGCCCTTTAAATTGCTGCTGGAGCCCTGTGTGGTGTACTTGAGGCGGTGCTGAGTGCTGGGTGGGGGAGGTTACACTCCTGTCCCTTCCATCCAAGGTGCCACCCACCCCCAAACACACACACCTTACTCAGCTCCTGGTGAAGTCCCCTGTGGCGGAGTTTCTGTCAGCCACACCTGAGCCCCAAAATACTTCATCCCTCATCAGCAGAGAGATTTTGTTATACACTCTCTGGCCACATTCCAACTCTGGTAAATCCCTCCTCTCGCCACCTGCAACTGTTAATGTTGTACTGTTACGCAGCTGCTGAACTCCATACCCGAGGTTTCCATAGCCTTGTAGTGATAAGTGATTCTTAATGTCCCTTACTAGGTTCTCCAGTGTCTTGAGACTTATTTAGCCAATTGCAAACCACTTAGAACATCTCACACAACTGCAAGCCTCACAAGTTCTATGGAGTGACAAATGTTTCCATATTTGCTTCAGCCCGTTGTGTCAAGTTGGTTAGGTAGCCTTCTGAATGTCTGGGACACAGCAAGTTCCTTTTATATATTACATGAGGAGACTCCTTGTGGTAAAAGCATAGATCTTCACTGCCTGGAATCAGCACTATACTATCTTACAAACTAAACACACAATCCATGTGCATAAAAGCCACTCCTACCTTTCTATACTTGCTCATTTTAAGTCTCTCAGACTTAGTTGCAGGGCTTATAAACTTTCCATACTACACGTGTGTTTCTGAAGAAGACAGGTGAAATCTACCATGATGTAAAGAGCCAACACAAGACCAATGCACTGTTGAGGTCACTAGAGGCTGCGTCTTGGGCCATCCCTCTGCACCAGAGTGAATTTCATTCATAGGGTAGGACCTATAAAGTGCATGATTAACTTTATACACGAGCAGTCACCTTGAAAAAGTGCAAGTAAAGTAGAGCTTATGACACAAACATTTGAAGGACAAGTGAATGGCCTTTGCAGGCCATTAGTGAAGTGCTATGAGGTAGCACATATCACACTCAGCTGTAGAGTACATCCAAGCTAGATGGAGCTTGGTGAGCACAATTCATGTTTTCACGCCTACTTTTTCAATGTGAAGGATGAATCATCCACAGGCAACTTTTTTTTGCTATTTATATAGAATTATTATTTTTAATGGAAAACAAACCAAATTGGCCATGGCCACTCAGCTGCAAGATCAAGGTCCTTTGCTGTTCTTTCAGCAAGCACTACTAATTTTGTTCACAGCACAAAGGGAGAGGAGAGGACAATTTGTAGTCACACTGTTACTTGCATTTCACCCGAATCACAGCCAAAATAAAAGTAAATTTGTAATTTTGCACGCAATCTTAAAAAAAAAAAAATCAATGAATAAATTCTCTGCCCTTCCCCCCCACAAAAAAAATGCATAAATTGCCACACACTCTGCATCGGTCACATCCTGCAACAAGTAACCCAGAACAAGTTATTGTTTGTGCTTGCTCTTCAGCACTCCAGTAGGCATTGGCACTTTAATACTGTACTCTGGATCTTGAGCGGTCTTGGAAAACGTGGCTATTGAAACCATATCTTCTCCGATATCCACCTGAGACCGGCGCCTGCAGATGAACAGTTTCTTCAGAGCCCGTTGGAAGTCCCGATTCAGAAAGGCATAGAGCATGGGATTGATAGTAGAATTGCAATAACCCAACCAAGTTATGATCTTGAAAGCATCGACTAGGACTGTGCCTGTGGAATCAGCACCTTTGGCAGCTAGCCAGACATTCAGCACAAAATACGGCAGCCAACATAATATGAAGACGGAGATGATGATGCTAATTGTCCGGGTGGCTTTGTTTTCCAGCTGCAGGTTGTTCTGCCTCTTGCTGTTGGGATGGTAGTGAATTTCGAGGGTCTGAGACACGATGCGGGTGGCCTTGAGTCGTGACGCTCGATAGATGAAGAAATACATGCTGCACATAATCATGAAAGGGACAAAAAATGCCAGGGCAGAAGCTACAATGGCAAAAGTCCAGTTGGTGACAAAGATGCACTCTTTGCCAGCATCAAAATCAACACCGGGTATCTCGTTCCAGCCTTGCATGACAGGAAGGAAGGAAATGAGGGATGAGTATACCCAGACGATACATGTCATCACAATGCACCTGCAAATGGAAGATCAGGAAGGTAAAAACTTGGGAGCACAGGTTATTCTGAGATCATCCTTTGAAAGCCACTAACACTAATGATACTCCACAGGTATGTTTGTGGAGATCAGTCAATGTTTTTGAATTGCTCTGAAGAGGTAAGTATACAGTAGAGAAGCCTCAGAGACAATGTTTGGATCCAAATTTGAATATTTCCAAAGTCTGGATAATTGGGATTAGACCTAGAATTAAGCCAGTCTGTGTCAGGGTTTGCACTTTGCAACACTTTGCCACATCTTAGCAGGACCCTCAGAGATACTCTTAATTTCCCAACTACATTTATAAATGTTTACATAAAAAATGGTCACATTCTGCTCTACTATTAGCTAGAGATTTTATCTTGCCAGAATGATCCAGCTAGTTTGTTGGTTGCAAAGGGCAGGGCCTGGGCATCTTAAAAGTCAGACATACCCAAACCATCCCAGTAGCTAGTAACCCTCTCCTATGGAACACTGGTAGGAGCTTAAAACTTCCCACACCGCTGGAACTGCTGGGTTAAGACGGTTAGGATAAATCCATGACCATGCCCACACCTTGAATACTGTATCCAGTATTCTAGTCATCACATCTCAAAAAAGGTGTGTTAGATTTGGAAAAGGTACAGAGAGAGGCAATTACAGTGATTAGTGGAACAGAATAGTTTTCATATGAGGAGAGATTAGAGACTGAGTCTGTTCAACTTGGAAAAGAGATAATGGGGAGTGTATGATAGAAGTCTATAAATTTGTGATTGGAGTTGAGAGAATGAAAAAGGCAATGTCTGCCCCTTCACATAACACAAGAACCTGGGGCCACCTTATGGAATTTATAGGCAGTAGATTTACAATAAATAAAATGAAGTAGTTCACCCACCACACAATCTGTGGAACTCCTTGCCAGGGGATGTGACGAAGGCTAATTATATAAATGAGCTTAAAAAAAAGTTCATGGCTGATAGCCATTGATGGACCTATTCTCCAAGTTGGTCAGGGATGTAACTCCATGTCTGGAGTGTCCCTACACCTCTGACTACCAGCCACTGGGACTGTATGATGGAGGATGGATCACTCTAAATTGCCTGGTTCTGATAATTTCCTCTGAAGTATTTGACAGTGATCACTGTCAGAAGACAAGCTGCTAGGCTAGATGGACAATTAGGCTGACGCGGTATGGTCATTCTTATGTTAATTCCACCCACTGTGGCATCGTTACCTCCTAACATACATTTGGTGAGCACACTGACTCCACAGTGCTTGTAGGGATGTATCAAGCCTATACCGTTACCATTCATGTCATTGCAACATGCTCCTAATTCAAAAGGTGCAATCACAGAAGTGCACTCTGGCCCGGTCAGCATGGGATTATCACATATTCTCCACCAAAGAAGCATAGGAGTAGGGCTCTTTAAATGGTGGAAAGGGTTGCTTATCAAATATGGATCAGATCTTGAGTGGTGGTTGCAAATGGCTCATCTGGAATGGTCATAGTATGTTCCACATCTGCATAAAATCTCTGAAGGATTTGGGCACCATGGAGAGGTGCTTCTCACCTGGCCCCAAGCTACTGCAGTGAGAGATGGCTGGGGTTGGCCTTTTCCTGCATACGGAACTCCTGAGCTACAGCCCCAGCCCAGAACAATGATTTAAATGAAGCATGGGCATTTTCATTGTGTTTTCCAAAAAAGAAAAATTGAGTTAAGGTCCCAAGCAACGCCCGGTAAATCTTCTGGTTATAAACAAACTAATACCTGAATGCTTATGTTGTCAGGCGTGCGTGTGAATTGGACTAATTAATTCACCATTTCTGTGGTCTCCCTCACAACCAATGAAAATTTTGCATGTTAATTAGCTGTAGAATAAGGATGGTGATTAGTTGAGTTGCCTCTGAGATTGCATACATGACTTAACTGTACCTGTATGCTGCATGGGTGTAATTCATAAAGTCAATGTCTGAGAACTTAAAAACTGGGACAATTACAGCCAGCGAACCCCAGTGGTGCCTGACCCTGGTGATGCTCTAACCAAAAGACCTCTGTCATGCTTGTTGCTAGTTCCATTGCTTCACACTGACTGTGAAGACATTCTAGGCTTTAGAACGACAATCCTGGAATCTTTTTACATAGATACTAGTTTAGGATACGACTTGGCAGCCTGTGTCTTGGTATTTGTATGGGCTCCATTAGAGTAGTAGATCAACACACAGCAGTGAGGGTAGGCAGTGCTATCATCCCCAGACTAAGTGACTTGCTCATGGTTACGCAAGAAGCCTGTGGCACAGCAGGGAATCAAACCAGGCTTTCCCAGATCCTAGGCTAGCATGCTAACCACTGAATAATTCTCACTGTCAATTCCTTATGTTAGTTAATGCTCAGATTTGAATTTGAGATGTAAGAGCAGGAGTGACAATCTCTCCGAGTTAGACCTGTTCACATGCTGTTAGCATGTTTTAGGATAATTGTTAAATCCTGGAATTGGGACTGATGATGGAACATCTGACATCCTAAAACCTCCCCCCCATTCCCACAATCTTCTGAGAGGTCTACTCACCTGCCACGTGACATCCTTGTGGAATAATGGTAGGGGGTCACCACAGAGCAATATCTATCCAGACTGATAAAGCACAATGTGACAATGGATGCTGTGCAGAACATGACATCAAAAGAGATCCACACTTTACAGAACAGCTTCCCGAACAGCCACATTCCTGTCACCTCATAAATTATGCTGTGGGGTGGTGAGAGAGAGAGAGAGAGAGAAAGAGAGCACAAAATATGAAGTTAAAATTGAAGAGGGGTTATTTTTTCTGCTATGTAGAAAACTATTTACCCCAAACCCAAGTTAATGTTGTACCCTGTTTGTGAGATTAGTGAAAATATGGCAATTGCACTGACATCATGAAATTTTGCTAGGAGGCAAATGGGAGTAATCTTCAAGTTTGACAGCCGAGGCTATTTAGCATGATATAGGACACAGTTAAGATTTCACATATGCTACCAGCTGGAACACTGTTTTATTGGAAGCCCTTGACTTGTTGCAGTTTTAGTGCAGATCATCTCTTATTTTTGTTTTGGTTTGGTTTGATATGTTTGTCATGGGCTTTTTCAGAGCCTCCAGAAGACACTTGTGGAACCAAAATGGAAGAACGAGGCTTCACAACAGCTCATGTTTTTGAACTGCATTTTAATAAGTGATCAAATCCTCAGTCATGTATTTTGTTCAGGTTCCAAACCATGGAAACTGCTGTCCTTAAAGCTAGACATGGAAAATGTGATTATTTTAAAGTGGAATATTTTTGAATTTTCTTTATATGGGAAATGTTGTCTTTTCATTTGTGAATTGGAACAAAAACAAAGGGTGAAATTTCAGAATGTAGCGCTTCACTCCAAAAGCAGCTTCATTGATTTCAGTGGGAGAATTTGTAAACCTGTCCTTTAGACCCCAGTCCTGCAAAGCTTTATGCACATGCTCAACTCTCGGCACTGCAAGTAGCCCTGTTCAAGTGCTGAAGTTGATGCAACTACTCCGAGTGTGTAAAGTGAAGCACCTGCGCAGGTCTTTGTAGCATCAGTGCACTGCAGGAAGGACAGAGTTTGAGGCACAGTATAGATGCCAATCTGATTCCACACTGCTAGCTGACCTATTGTTATCTTGTTCTTAGTAGCGATGTCTGGTACTACAGACTGAACCTCTCTAGTCTGGCACCCTGCATGATCTGCCATGATTGTAGTTGGCTGGGATGTTCACTTTTCATGGGTGTGACCAATTTTCCCATGGTCCCATAAAGTTTGACAGCCACCAGTCCTGGCTCTGTGTTCTATGCTGTTATTTCACTCTAATTTACCCCTAAATGTCTTCTAAGAGGCCAGGTAGCAGTGGAAGTGTTGGTAATGCTGCTAGATAATATTCTATGGTTTGGCAAATTCTCTGGTTTGATCCTGAGGGTACCAGACAAGAGACAAGATGACATGCATCTGACGAAGTCTGGAGGTGTGCCTAACGTAGTGAATACAAGCAGAGAGAGGGTAAGTTTAGAAGATAGGATACACAAAGAACAAGTTAAAAATCACTTAGGAAAGTTAGATGTCAGCAAGTCACCAGGTCCTGATGAAATGCATCCCAGGATACTCAAGGAGCTGATAGAGGAGCTATCTGAGCCTTTAGCTATGATTTTTGAAAAATCATGGCAGACAGGGGAAATTCCAGAAGACTGGAAAAGGGCAAATATTGTGCCCATCTATAAAAAGGGGAATAAGAACAACCCAGGAAACTACAGACCGGTCAGTTTAACGTCTGTCCCAGGGAAGATAATGGAGCAGGTAATTAAGGAAATCATATGCAAACACTTGGAAGGTAATAAAGTGATAGGGAATAGCCAGCATGGGTTTGTGAAGAACAAGTCATGCCAAACTAATCTGATAGCTTTCTTTGATAAGATAACGAGCCTTGTGGATAAGGGAGAAGCGGTGGATGTCATATACCTAGACTTTAGTAAGGCATTTGATACGGTCTCGCATGATATTCTTATTGATAAACTAGGCAAATATAACTTAGATAGGGCCACGATAAGGTGGGTGCATAATTGGCTGGATAACCGTAGTCAGAGAGTTGTTGTTAACGGTTCTAAATCCTGCTGGAAAGGGATAACAAGTGGAGTTCCTCAAGGGTCTGTTTTGGGACCCATACTGTTCAATATCTTCATCAATGATGTAGATATTGGGATAGAGAGTACGCTTATTAAGTTTGCAGATGATACCAAACTGGGTGGGGTTGCAACTTCTTTGGAGGATAGGGACATAATTCAAAATGACCTTAGCAAGTTAGAGAAATGGTCAGAGGTAAACAGGATGAGGTTTAATAAAGAGAAATGCAAAGTGCTCCACTTAGGAAGGAACAATCAGTTCCATACATACAAGATGGGAAGCGACTGTCTAGGAAGGAGCATGGCGGAAAGGGATCTAGGGGTCATAGTGGACCACAAGTTGAATATGAGTCAACAGTGTGATGCTGTTGCAAAAAAAGCAAATATGATTCTAGGTTGTATCAACAGGTGTGTTGTAAGCAAAACTCGTGAAGTCATTCTGCCGCTCTACTCTGCACTAGTTAGGCCTCAGCTGGAGTACTGTGTCCAGTTCTGGGCGCCACATTTCAAGAAAGATGTGGAGAAATTGGAAAGGGTACAGAGAAGAGCAACAAGAATGATTAAAGGTCTAGAGAACATGACCTATGAAGCCAGGCTTCATGAACTGGGCTTGTTTAGTTTGGAAAAAAGAAGATTAAGGGGGGACATGATAGCGGTTTTCAAATATCTAAAAGGGTGTCACAAGGAGGAAGGAGAAAATTTGTTCCTCTTGGTTTCTGAGGACAGGACAAGGAGTAATGGGCTTAAAGTGCAGCAGGGGAGGTTTAGATTGGACATTAGGAAAAAATTCCTAACTGTCAGGGTGGTCAAATATTGGAATAAATTGCCAAGGGAGGTGGTGGAATCTCCCTCTCTGGAGATATTTAAGAACAGGTTAGATAGACATCTGTCAGGGATGGTGTAGACAGAGCTTGATCCTGCCTTGAGGGCGGGGGGCTGGACTCGATGACCTCTCGAGGTCCCTTCCAGTCCTATGATTCTATATCGTGGGTCTTTGCCCACGAAAGCTTATGCTCCAACACTTCAGTTAGTCTATAAGGTGCCACAGGACTCCTCACCGCTTTTGCAGATTCAGACTAACACGGCTACCCCTCTGATACTAGACAAGAGAGGGTCAACCTGTATTATGTAATGCTTGGAAAATGTAGATAGTGCCTGACAGTATGTATGAGCTATATATTTTGTAACCTTCTTGCTGCATCACTAGTCTGAAATCCAATGAAGGTTTGTATGAGGGTCCCTTTGTCTCTCTAACTAACCCACTCTTTTTTCCCTAAAGCGGATTAGAAAGAACTGAGTGTTCCCTTCCACTGTATTGTACAGGTTCCTGCTTTTTGGCATGTGCTAATGAACAAAATAGTGCAGTAGCTTCTCTGCTCAATGCAGGAGGTGAAAGGTGACACAGCCAAGCTGGAGAGTTGGGGAAACGAACTCCACTCCTGATTCCTGTGGAATATGCTAGCCAGCTCACTCATCTAAGACAATGTTGGTTCTACCCCAAAGCTGCCATGCAGCTTGATAGAGGGTCTCTATAGACTTTAAATCCCCATATGGAACGCCCATAGTACCTGAGTTAAGTGCATACAGGGAATGTCATCATTCTGGGAATCTTGAGACACAGAGAACCTTTAGCAATGGTTCCCCTGATTCTTTGCAAGCAAATCTCACTTCCAGTCTGACAAAGTTGTTATGCCAAGCTCCCATCTGACTGGATATTTATCCATAAAAGGTAGCATGTGCAGATCCACAAAAAGCACATGGCTTGTCAAGATGCACAATCAGTGTGAGATATAAGTACGGGTGATATCGCAGGCAAAATCTATTTATGTTGAAATTATGCTCCAGCCTAGTTGTTCTCACATTTTAGCAACCCAAGGACCCCTGTTTTCACTTTAATTTTTGAGGGGACCCTCCTCTCCCATCCCTTCACTGAGGCCCAACTCTGCTCCACCCCTTCTCTGAGGCCCTGCCCCCACTCACTTTTACTGGCGTGGAGCAGGGGGTTGGGGTGAACGAGGAGGGTGCAGGCTTTAGGGTGGTGCTGGGGATGAGAGGTTTGGAGTCTGGGAGGGGACTCTGGCCTGAGGTATGGGGCAGAGATGCGGGAAGGGCGTCAGGATGAAGGGTCCCGGTGGTGCTTACTGTGGCTCCCAGGGAGCAGCTGTCAGGTTCTGGCAGCCCCTAGGCACATGAATGGCCAGTGAGGCTCTGCATGCTGCCTTCACTGCCCCCACAGCTCCCATTGGCCGCAGTTCCCAGCCAATGGGAGCTGTAGAGCCAGCACGTTGAGGGCGGGGGAGGGGGTGGAGGCAATGCATAGAGCCTCCCTAGCTGCTCATGTGCCTAGGTGCTACAGGGACCTGCAGCTGCTTCTGGGAGCCATGCAAAGCTAAGGCCAGTAGAGAGCCTGCCTTAGGCCTGGGCCCCCACTCTTAAAAACTGGCTGCTGGATAGTGGCTCCCAAGCCTTCAAGAGGGACTGGGAGGGAGGGAGGGAGGGAGGGAGAGAGGCAGGAGTTGATGTAGGGAACAACAGACCCCCTCCTCCCCCATTCATTGCACCGCATTCAGAATTGCTAAGTGGAGTACTTTATTTGAAAATGCTTGGTGTGCTGGTTGCCCATAATCAGAATGTCCAGCCAGCTCCTTCTCTGCCTCATCTCAGCAGGGCATTTCACCCCTTAAAACGGCAGCTCACAGTGCACGGGCAATACAGCTAACTGCTCAAATAGCTGATGGGCACCCTTCGGTGGCGGCTCAGCTCCTCCACGAAGGAGCACACGTTGCTGCCCGAGGCGTGTTTGCACCTCTCCTTTCCCAACCCGAGGGTGTTGTGCTGGGCTCCTCACTAACACATTGCTCTGAACTCGTTCCCCCCAGTGACTGATTTGCATGGTACAGAGCCCTTCTACTGCTGGGACCTCATGGAGAGTCTCTGTTGGTGGAAGTGCAGTTTGGAGGCAAACGTTTCTGGATTCGGTGCCGGCTGATCACAGTGATGCCTATTGTCTGCAGCCCTTTAATGTGCTGTGTCCGAGTCTTCCAGCCTCCTAACGCCCTGAGACATGCAGTAGCTCAGCTCCCCTGCTCCTCCTCCCCCCCCCCCCCCCCC